AATAAAAAGGAATTGGATAAGGAAAAGAAGGAATTAGATAAGAAAAAGAAGGAATTAGATAAAGAATTTTTAATCTGACTTTTTTTTTTAAGTATAGATAGACTTTACGTACAAATTTTGACTTCACTGATTTTATGGGATTTGTTTTGACAAAATCGATGTTAATATGAAATAATACAAATAAATAAAGTCTTTTTATTTTAATAAAGATTTTACGTTTTTTTTTTTACTTGTAAGATGTTATGGGATTTTTTTCTTAAACTAATTTTATGGGATATAAGATAAATAAATAAAATAATTAAATAAAATTCTGGAGAGAAATAGCAATGCATTAATTACGTTGACTTTTCAATCTACTAAATTTGGTAAATAGGATACCTTATATAATAAGTATAGATATATAAATAAATAACATGCCAAAATTTTAAAGAATAATTAATGTATTTTAATTTATTATCTAGCCATCAGTAATATCATTTAATGATGTGATCATTATCTTTTAAATGATAAATAAAATATTAATTTAAAAAAAAAATATTTGTTTTTTATATACTCAAATAAAAATTAAAAAATACTATCGTCAAATATGAATTATAATATATCTATATATATATAAAAAGATTTACTATTTTTTAAAAATGGCAAGTCAACTCTTTGGTCAAAACTTGTAGCATTAATTACATTCCATTTTAAATAACTTTTTTTATTATTATTATTTTTTAAAATCGGCAACAATAAATGCTGCAACAAATTGTGACTTTGTTACTTATTTTCTTTACGGAAATCAGGCAACCGCATGTGTTGGCCTTAAAATTGGAATTTGTTACATTATCCAATGAAGTGACTCCAATTTTTAAATTACTTTTGGAAACATCATTTTTCACCAAAAATTGCTGCTGGTTCAACATATTGTTTGGCAACTTTTAACTTTTAATTTCTAATAGCTAATGCCATTTAATATTGGTATTAATTAATAAATCACATCCATGTATCTAAAAATATGAATCGTAATGTTAGTGTTAATTAATTAATCACATTCATGTGTTTCTAAAAATATGATCCGTAAATATGCAATGTTCAGTATGATATGTTAAAAATTATTAATTGATTAATCACTCAGCATGTTGAAAATTATTTTCCTTTTTGTTTTTAATGGAAATTTTATCGACGTTCCCAAAAAATTTGATCAATCTTGTGTATGATATCAATATGCAATGTAACATTTTGTTTCCTTTCAAATAATTCTACAATACAAATTATCGCATTGT